TATTGTCATTCTTGTGATCCTCAAATAAATCAAAAATGGACTAGCGGAAATTCTAAAATAGATAATTTTATAAAAAATGCACAAGCAAATTCTAAATACTATCATAAAATAATTGAATATATACCATACAATAAATTAGAAAATGTTAAACAAATTGGTAAAGGCGGTTTTAGCACAGTTTATTCTGCAACTTGGATCGACGGTAAACGAACATATGGCGGAGGCATAATGATGTATTTTTGTTTCGCGAACGATGCAAGGTGGCCCTTAAGAGCTTAAACGGACCTCTAAAAATATCATCGAATTTTTTTAACGAGGTAAAAAGAAATTTATATATTTTCTTTATATATAAGTAAAAAAAACACTAATAACGATAATTTAATAATATTAGTTCAAAATACATTATGAATGCCAACTTAACAGATTTAGCGTAGATAAATATGGAATAGAAATATATGGAATAACTTATAACGCCGTTAACGATGAATATCTAATGGTTTTTGAATATGCTGATAAAGGAAATCTTCGACAATATCTATCAACAAATTTTAAAACTCTTGATTGGAAACAAAAAATAAAAATTCTTTGTTCAATTTCTGATAATTTAGATTATATTCATCAAAATTATATTCATGGAGATTTTCATAGTGGAAATATACTTATGATTAGTACCAGAGAAATTTTTACTATTCCTCACAATATGGGTGATAAATTCGCAGCAATTTCACTAAAAATAAGTGATAAAATAAGTGTAGAACCCAAAATTTCGGACTTAGGACTATCCAGAAAAATAAACGATTCTACTGAAATTAAAGAAACATATGGAGTAGTATCTTATTCAGCATCTGAAGTATTATCAGGAAAACAACCTACGAAAGAAACAGATATTTATAGTTTAGGTGTGATTATGTCCGGTGTCAACTGGAAAGCCACCTTTTGAAGATATATCACATAAAACAACTAATTTTATACCGTATATAATATTAAACGAATTACGACCAAAATTTGCATCCGGAACACCTGATGTTTATATAAAACTTGCAAAACAATGTATGGACAATGATCCGATGAAACAGCCAACTGCTAAAGAGATTTATGAACAATTGCAAGAATGGGAAATAATTTTTGATAAGGGTCAAGAAAATTTAAATGAAGAACAAATTAAATTAAAAAACGCATTTTTAGAAGCAGACAAAATTATTCCTACACAAGAATATCAAGATTCTTCATATATTCGTCAACCTATTAGCACTGAGCTAATAAATACTATAGTAAATATAAATTAAATTTCTAGTTGTTTTTGTTAACACAATTCTAAATAAATTTATATCACAATAAATTCCAATATTGAAATATCATACGTATTAGATTAATAATTATTTTCCTCTTGCTTAGTTTTTTTCTAAGTTATTTCTAAATTCAGTAATTGGTAAAAATTTAATAATAATGTCAGTCAATTCAAAATAGACCTAAATTGTGAAATAACGCAGAACATATATAAAAGTCTATATTAGTATTAGCTATTTATCATAATATTAGGATAAAAAAATTTATTGATATCTAGACAGTTTTAAAGAGAACTAAAGTTGCCATATCTCTTTAAATTTTATATTATGTGAACCAATTTATAAATTTTCATTCTTTAAAATTATTGCGCCCCATTTTTTTTTTTAAATAAAAGCACACAAATATTTACAAAATAACTTAAAATTTCTTCTAATGAAAAGAAAATTGGCAATTATTTATTTTATTTATCACCACTGGTAATCATCACCAGTGTTGTCATATTAATATCTCAAAAACCTACTAAATCAGTGTTGGCAATTTAACCGGCCAAAAAACGGCCAATACGGCCAAATTCATATGTTTTTTTTTGCCAAAAAAGGCCAAACAAAGTTTGTTTAGCTAATAAAATTGCCAATACTGTACTAAGTGTACGGGATTGGGTATTCTAAGTAAAAATATACAGAACCCTAAAAACCTCACGAGAACTAAAATCGAGACCTTATATCTAATCTACATTACATTATATCGGGTGGGTGAAAAGCCTCTATACAGGTCCTTTTTTTGTTTAATCACTAAAATAGTAATCATTGCAATATTATATATAAATTGTATTTAAAATTAAGGAGTGAAATAGTGATTGCGCAAAAATTTGACGGTCCCGTGACTAATTTAATTACAATGATATCCTAATATTCGTCTAAAAATGATTTTTACATTAATACAAAGTATATAGAAAGAATTATCTAAAATTTTGTGCTGAAAACTTTTACAAAATAACAAAGACGAATTCCCCTTGCAGATTTATGAGTTTTTGCGATTTCTGGTTTTTTTTTCGCCTTTTTTTTTTTTTTTTACTTCGCATTTGTATGTTATATACTAATCTTACAATCGGATTGAATAAAATCACGGGACCGCCAAATTTTTGCGGCATCACTATTTCACTCAAATTAAGTACTATAAATCTTAGCGGAGATAGTAAAAAAAGGGACCTGTATAGAGACTTTTCACCCACCCGGTATAAAAAAAAAAATCCAAAACTATACAATAACCCTAAATTTTAGAAAAAAACTATACTGTATTAAACACCACTGGTGATTTTCTTTATTCTAAATAAAAATTTACAAAATTTCGACTATTGTATCTGTAATTACTCTAATCAAGGATATTATGATTTGGAGATAATGTGTGAAAGAAACTTTTTACTTATTTAATGTAAAATAAATTTATAAAAGCTTTTATTTATCATCTAAGAACAGTAACATTAACTTATAATGCATGATTTACAAAATTAAATCATTTGTACGGGATTTAGACAGAATTAATTCGTTTATTAAATCAGTAGAAATTTTATCAGAGTAAAGTTCATCAGAACAAACGATTTTTCCACTTTTTATTTTGTTCATTATACGCTCAAATTTTTCACGAACCTTAGACAATTTTAATAATATTTGTTCGTCACTTTGCCACTTTGTAAAAGCTTCAACAACTTTACTTGCGGGTGGACGTCTTTTTGGTTCTTCATCCCAACACTGTTTCATTAAATTAATATAATACGTTCGGCATCTTAAAGAAATTCTTCCGAAATTTCTTCAAAAATTGGTGGTCTTAGTTTATCGAGTACTATTTTCTCTTGCAACTGTGAACCAAATAATTTATTATAAAATGCAGTCACAGGTATTCCATAAAAAATTTCCCACATAATTATGCCAAAAGAATAAATATCAGATGCTTTGGTATATGGATTTCTATTTTTAATTTCAGGATCAATAACTTCTGGAGCTATATATGGTAAAATTCCACAAATCCCATCAGGTTCCGCATTCAAATTCACGTCAGTTGGTATTGAAAGTCCTAAATCTGCAATATATGCACTGTTTAAACTATATAGTAAAACATTGCCACTATGTAAATCTCGGTGAATAAGTTCTTGAGAATGAATTATTTGAAGATCAGAAGCAATACAATCCAATAATTTTAATTTATCTTTCCATTCCATTTGTGCTACAGAGGCAAGATTACTAAGTAATGAACCCATTGCTACTTGCATAAAAAGAATATATTTCTTAGAAATATCATCTTTAGATATCCCATAACACCTTAAAAATGATGGATTTTTATTGCCAATATCACAATAAGCTTTTAACTTTAGTATTAAATAAATTGTTAAGATATAAGTTTCTAAATTTTTAAACATGTTTGCACATATTAATAAATCAATTTACCTCTTTTACAAATTCTTCATGACTCTCTTTTGATTTACGAAGCACTTTAAGTGCAACAGGTTTTTTAATGCGTTGCTTTGGATCTACCCACTTAGCATAATATACTGATGCAAATCCACCTTGCCCTAAATTTTGTATATTTTCAAATTCGTTATAAGGAAACCAAGATAGTGGATATTCGCTTTCAGCAAGTATTTTTTTTTACTGTATCATCAATATTCAAATTTTCATATATTTGTTTGTTTGTTCCTGATGAAAATTGTTATATTCAAATAATTTTACGAATAAATAAATAAATAAATAATAACCATTACCTAATGTTTGTTTCCGTTCTCTGAATAATTTTTTTAAAAAATTTATCGTTATTAAAAAAAACTTACATATATTATAATAATATTATAAAGTAACATACATTTGATACCATTCATTGGCCTTTTGTAAGTCTCTTGTTGTTCCAATTCCATTTCTATAACAGCGCGCAACATTATTTATTCCACTTGCGTATTCCATCTCTGCTGATTTTTGAAAATAAATAAATGCTTTATGCTCATCTTTTTCAACTACAATTCCATTGTAATAATAATATCCAACATTATATGTTCCATTAGCATTTCCCATCTCTGCTGATTGTTGATAATAGTTGAATGCCTTATGTTCATCTTTTTCAACACCAATTCCATTTCTATAACAATATCCAACATTATATGTGCCATCAGGCGATCCCATCTCTGCAGATTTTTGGTAATGAATAAATGCTTTACGTTCATTCTTTTCAATTCCAATTCCATATTGATAGCAAGATCCAACATTAAATGTTCCATTAACGTCACCCATCTCTGCAGATTTTTGATAAGCCTTACGCTCATCCTTTTTAACTCCAATTCCTTCATCATAACAATATCCAACACTAAATATTCCATCAGTGTCCCCATCTCTGCAGATTTTTGATAATAAACGAATGCCTTATGTTCATCTTTTTCAACTCCAATTCCATTTTGATAACAATGTCCAACTTGAAATATTCCATCAGAATCACCCATCTCTGCAGATTTTTGATAATAAATGAACGCCTTATGTTCATCTTTTTCGACTCCAATTCCATTAAGATAACAATATCCAACACTATATGCTCCACTAGCATGTCCTATATCTGCAGATTTTTGATAATAAGTAAATGCCTTACGTTCATCCTTTTCAATTCCAATTCCTTCGTCATAACAATATCCAACGCGATATGTTCCATCAGAATTCCCCTTCTCTGCAGATTTTTGATAATAAATGAATGCCTTATGTTCATCTTTTTCAACTCCAATTCCAATTTGATAACAGTTACCAAGTGCAAACATTCCACTAGCATCTCCCGCCTCCGCTAATTTTTGACAATAAATGAAGGCTTTATGTTCATTAGAAACTTGTGTTCCTGAAATTATTTGAGCATTAATAGGTGTATCAACTGATTTTTGAAAATGAATGGATGCCTTAAGGTCATCACCGTCAATTATATTCGATAACGACATCCTGCATTATATTTTCAATAGTCTAAATACAAAATATATAATTTAAATAGAAGCGTTTGCATAACAACCAAGAGCAAGTTTAACAAAGTAGTTTACGTATTAAATGAAGAAAAGTAATCATTCTATTCATAAATGCTTTATTTAGCAACTGGTAACACAGTAAACAATTACTTAACTTTGTAACCCATGATATTCCTATATTTGATTCATTTTGCTCAATTTGATGTTACTAACTTTATACGTATTAATTTTTTTTTTAAAAAAATTAATATACTGTAACACCAATGTCTCGTGATTCGATATTCAGAATCAAACGATTTTTGTACCATTCGAATTCTCAACGAGACGAATCTAATGATATAAAAATCGCCACAATACTCTTACCAACTTTATGTTAAAACCGGCTCCAAACTTTAGGCGCAATATTCACTGGTTAAAAAATCATATTTTAACTAATAAAATAACTAGTTATTTTTAGTACAAATGATGAACCTATTTACTATATAATTACTATATATATAGGTAATATATGTATTAAGCATATTAGCTAAATAAGTAGCTGCGCGACACTGTCGCGCTAAACCAGGAACGGATGATAACTTCAATACAGAATAGTTATATAAGCTAT